ACTGCTAATCAACCATGATATGCATTCTTTCTGCTGAACTCCGAGATGCACGGGCAGACTTCTGCAGAGCCATGAACAACTACGCACTTTACCTCCCTGTCCAACCTATAGTAGGCAGCAAAAGCGAGCAGTGAACTGCACAGCGCAGGCACATAGGACAGGCTAGCAACTCAGTGGTTGGCTCATGACTGATTCAGTATACAAAAAAGTGAGGGCTGCTGCAGGGAAAGACGACCAGATGTGGTAAGAAGAGAATGAAAAAAGAAAAGTTCTTGCCTTCTGCAATGATAGAGAGCATAGCAAGCAAAACCTTGTAAAGAATAAGAGAAGAGAAGAATGGAGGAATAAGCATCAGAGAACAGGACAAATGTGAAAGCTGACAAAGGCCCCTCACAATGTAGCATTTCATGCCTACAATGGGTGATATTTGTAAGGATTGATTCACTGAAGTTTATTGAATCTGCTTACATGCTGCAACAGCCACATGACAAAGATTAGAAGCAAACTCGGAGCAATCATTATACCATTAAAATTAATAGTATGCTGTGGAAGATTTCTTGTGTCTTCTTGAAAGTAAGAATATATTGGTGCTTTAAATAACTCAAAACTTTTCCAGAAAAGTCAAACTACTGGTTTACGTGCCTAACTTTAGGAGTTATTTCAGGTCATTTTTACCTTTTTTCATCAAATATTGCCCGACATTTCATCAGAAAGTGTTGTAAGTTCTTACACTCAACTTATTCTGTGGATCTTCAAAGTGGGTATTTGGAGTCGTATATCCCGTGGCTGTGTGAACAGATTAAACACGAAGATTTCCTAGATGATGTATCCTACAAGAAATAAATATGCAGTATAAGTGATAAGTATACAGGACACAACATGCAACGTGCCCTCGTGGCAAACGCAGCCAACAGCATCCTGGGCTGTGTTACAAAAAGCTTCACCAGCAGGTTAAGGGAAGTGGTGCTTCCCTCTACTCAGGTGTCGCATCACCAGTGGTGCAGGGCTGTGTCCAGTTCCACACTTTCTACTACAAGAGAGACATGGCCATACTGGAGCAAGACCTATGAAAAGCTGGCAACATGATTAAGACACAGGAGCATGTGTTTATACAAGCAGAGGTTGAAAGCTGGGACTGCTTAGCGTACAGAAGTGAAAGCTCAGGGGCATGTTGTCAACGTGTATAAACACTTGATGCTGTAAGTAAAGAAGACAGACTCTTCTCATTGGTGTCCAGTGACAGGACATGAAGCAATGGGCATAAGCTGAAATACAGGAATGTGTTTAACCATCAACTAACACCTTTGCTCCTGTGAGGGTGATCAAACACTGGAACATATCAAAAGCCCAGGTAGACATGGTCCTGAGTAACCTGCTCCAGCTGGCCCTGTTCTGAGCAGGTGGGTTGGTCTAGACCATGTCCAGAGGCATCTTCCAGCTTCAGCCACTCCATTCCAGTTCCAAAGACAGACTTGGGAACTGATCACTAGCTCTACTGTAAAGGTATTCGAAATATTGCCTATATTAAACAGCTGCTAAACAAAAGAAGGCACTGCTGAAATGCACCTCTAATACCGGGCTCCCAAGACATGAAAGCAATTATAATCAGATGGCTGTTTTCATACAGATTTTTCAAACCACATTGCACAGCACCATCTTCTGGTGAACAAAAAGTTGGAGGTTTTTTTCTTTCAGGCTTTGAGAAAAAAACTCTAACCATATCAAAGATAATTTTCACACAAGAAATAGTAATGTTAAGTCTAAAAATAAGCAACTTAAAATAAACATCATCTATAAAACACAGAAGCCACACAAAATTTTTTATTAACCCCTGTTATCCCTGGAGACACACCAACTGAAAAAATATCCTTTAAAACATCTTATCCTCTTCATTGAGAGGGCCAGGCATCAGCCTTGTTCTGATTTCTGCAACTAAAGAAAAATACATATCACTCACATAATAAACAAAGACATCTCAAAGTACACATCACAACGCAATGCTCTTCCAAGCTTGTATGTGGACCCTCAATGACATGGTGTAGGTCTGCTTTCTGGAAGAGCCTTTGGATGAGCTTTAGAATATGGGAAGTAAGAACTACTCACCTTTCTCTGGCATGAGCCCAGAGACATACCTCTGAGAAACACAAGTGTGTCAAGCAGACCAAGAACACATCATTGCTCAAACTGAATCGCCATGAGCAAGGCCGCCCAAAAACAAGCAGGCTACAATTTCTACTTAGAAAAGAAGTCACTCTGAAGTACTCTGCTTGTTACTAGCTTGCTACATTGACAAATAAGCTTACTATCACCATATTTCCTTTTTGTTTGTTGAATTTTCCAACAAGAAGAAACCATTCTACAACTTGATGCAAGTTACTTGATCATGCAATCACTGTTCAATTAACTCTGTCTTCTTGCACAACAGAGTCAATTAGCAAGAGTCAGGCTTGGTGTCTGGTAGTTTCCCAGGTTCACATACAAGCATTTTTAACTGGACTATGAAAATAAAACAAAAGGATGAATACATGAAGCGGGAAAACTCTAGCCAAATCAGCCAGGAATGCTTAGGAACAAAGGAAAGTTTCTTTCCTTACTATATAAAAGGCAGAGTTTCTCTCAACCATATGCATGAAATCTTCTGCTCCAATGTAGGAGCACTAGTATAACTAAGTAAGTATATCTAAGCTGCTTATTGTTTTTTCTAAATACAGCCAACACCTTTAGGAAATAACTGAACCCACATACCTCTTCGTTTTGAGAGTAACTGCTTTACGTTGAGTGCAAGACACCCCAACGCTGCAACTGTGCTGCAGCAACGTGCTCTGGGGTTTTACCGCGCTGCGGGCGGCCTTCCTCAGCCGCACTGCCGAACTCCGCGGCACCCACCGGCCCGCTCTCCTCAGGGCTCCGC